AGACAGACTTGATATCTCCCCTGCCTTCACACACTTTTTATCTTTTCACACGGTAGTCCTTAAATAGTCCTAGATCAAGGTTTGATTGGTCTCTAACCAGAACTCTGAGGGAAGCTCAAATTTAATGTTTCATCGACGCCCCTTTCCCCATCGTCCCCCGCGCCAATGGGGCTATCGTATCTTCTGCCCGGTTTCTCCCGCGGGATTCTTCTTCTCGGTGGACAGAACTCCTTCCCGCCGATTCTTATTACTCAGCGGTGGGAAATCTGAAACACGAGCGTTCCTGCCCGCCCGCCCCCTCCCCGCGCTTCCACCCGAGAGCAACACCATAAAATCAAAAGAAAGGAGATCCAGTTGCCTAAGGAGAACCTTTTGATTTAGACGCGTCAGCGAGGGTTTTTCTCCCTTCTTCTAATTCAGTGTTTCTCAACCTTGACAACTTGAAGTCCTGTGGACTTCAACTCCCAGAATCTATGCTGGCTGGGGAATTCTGGGAGTTGAAGTCCACAGGACTTCAAGTTGCCAAGGTTGAGAAACACTGTTCTAATTCGTTAACGGAGGGTCAATGTTAGAGGAAATTTCTGTTCTGAAGGGGGGGAAATGCATTTTCCCTGGCCGGTTCATTTTTTGTTTAAAGGCGGGAGAGAAAGGCGGCTGAAATTGGTCAAGGCTTCAGCGGGGCTACTCGTCGTTATCAGAAAATGGACGGTCTCATTTTGGTATCGCCAATTGTGTGAACTCCGCGTGGCTCGGAGTTCATGTCGGAACAACGTGGTTTATATTTTGGGTAAACCAAGTCAAGTCATTTGGGGCTTAGCCAACTACAGTTTGGGAAATGGTAACAAGCGTTAATCGAACCCGAAACTTCGGAAATACGCAGCCTTTCTCTCCTGGATGGATTCATTCTTTTCCTTAATGCTCACTTGGTATCGATTGGAAGCGTTTCGGGGAGTGCGGCCGTGGATCCAGCTGCTCCCCCCCTTTTTTCCCCCCCATGGCCAACGTTTATTCGAGCCTTTTATACATTCCAAGCACGTGGGAGAATCTCGGAGGGACTGGTTTTGTAAGCAAAAAAGAGGCTTACAAATATAACGAAATAACATCATTTTCCACAACGCTTGGCAAGTTTCTTTTTAAGTAATGAACAAATAGTTAGATCAGGGGTCCCCAAACTTGGCAACTTTTTAAGACTTGTGGATTCCAGCTATGCTGGCTGGAGAATTCTGGGAGTTGAAGTCCACAAGTCTTAAAAAGTTGCTAAGTTTGGGAACCCCTGAGTTAGACGACCAATTACAGTCCTGCTTCCACAAGAAAGCGCCAAGACGAATCCCTGGAACTCTTGGAGGAAGGACGCAATCCGGAGCGATCCATTTCGACAGAAGCGCTTTTGGGTATTTTTGAAATCAATCCTTTCGCTGATTTCCGACTGCTAACTCCTAAAAGGCTCTTGGTCGGGAAGGGCGGGGACTTTCTACGAAACGATTCGAGGGCCAAAAAGGGGGAAGGGAAAACCGCGTGTCCGAGGCAAAGGACGCCCGTCAAAACCCGCGGTGTTGCGAAGGCGGCCCCTTTTCTCCCACAATAGGAAAAAAAAAACCAAATGTGGAAACTTCGGCTTCGCAGGTCCTTCGATTTTGTTTCAGGGGAGCCCGTACCGCAATCCTCTCAATGCAAGGGAAGTCCGAAGGAAAGCGGGACCTGCTCCCAGCGCTCCCTCCTTCTACTTAGGCCCAATCGTTTAGCCCTTACTTATACATCTCGACGCCTCGCTCGGTCTCCTCCCCGTCTCTTTTTAGGACCGGAAAATCAGACCAGCTTAATTTGAACTGGCGAACACTGGATGACCACGAGGACTAGACGGGCAGCGGCTCTTTGCTGCCACAAGACGGCCGTCCGGAGTTTTGCACATAGAAAGTGGCTTGCGGGGTTTTCGAAGCTCCCGCAAGGGAGGCCGGAAGCTATAAGGCCGACTCGGCTTAGAGGGCTGAGCCTCCCCGAAACTGCGAGGCTTGGGCGCAGCGGAAGGTTCAGGAAGGAGCAGCAAGTAGCTGGCTTCCTCGGGATTGAAAAATTAAGCAGCATCACCCCTGATGGGCCTGTCTTGGATGTGACCGCACCGATTGTAAGCTCCCCATGGGATCCATCCAGAAACCAGAGTCGCTGCAGAACGACTTTTAATTCGGGGAGGAGATTTAACGGAAGGAATCGCCACACCATTCCTCACGTTTGTCCCCTACAGCGAGATTCGGGTTCACAGGTATCCACAAGGCATGGTCGAAAAACGTAAGACGGCGGCCCACGAAGTTGAGATCGAAATAACTCCCTTATTTGTGTGCCGCCATCTTGACTTTTTTGACCACCTTGCGGGTCTGCACTTTTAGGGCGTCGTAACTTCCCATAACTTCCCCCGACCGTGTGGGGCTTCCATATTCCAATGGAGCGGAAAGCCCATCGATAAACCAAGCATTGTTTCCAAACCAGGTTGCGTTTGACGTCGAGTCGGTCAGACTTTGGGTTAATCTGCCTGAAAGAAGCCTCGAACTAAGTAGGGTGGCTACAAATTTTGAGTGGGCGATTTTGTGCGAACACAGCTTGGATCTGTTCTTAGCTTCTGGCACTTGCGCCCTCCTGACTCCATCGCTTTCACCAGATTGAGTCGGTTTATGGTTCACCCTAAGAGTCTACATTATTTGTGGAAACCACGAATTACCTCGATAAGCCCGTCGGATGAAGGCAGGAGCTGGACACCTAACGTCCGCCAGCAGGTAACTGCGGGAAACGGTGCCCTGGGACCGCAGGCCCGAGAGAAGGGCACGAGTAATAGGTGGGCCTGCGGAAGGCGCGCTAGCCACCCACGCAGAAGCCGCGGCTCCTTCTCGGCTGCAGCCGCTGATTATGCCGCGCGCGAGACCGGCGAAAGAAGCACCGCCTCTGGGTAGCAAGATGAGGGAGTCGGGGTGAGCCACTGCCCTTCCTTGGGAAGGCAGCCTACAAAGCTACACCTCGCCCTTCAGTCCCTACCCTCCAGAAGAGGAAAAGCATCGGCCAGAGAAGCAAGCTCTCCGGGACTGTCCTGTCTAGCGGCTGGCGGCCTTCGGGGGCCACGCCGGCTGGATGAATCGAGCTGCTTAAAGTGGTCCAGAGCTGGGAGCTTGAGGGTCGGTCCGGTCCCCACTCTCCTCCCTCGAGCGCTGCCAGAGAGACACCCGTGTCTAACAGACGGCGGCGTACGGGCTCAGCTCCGCACGCGGAGGCGCTGCGTCTTCCCCGAGCCTCCGCCTTTTCCTTTGGGTCTGGCCGCTGCGGGAGGGCTTAAGGGGTTCCCGCAGAAACGCGGGATGCTGTTTAAGGACGGCGATTCCCAAACATGAGGCCGCAGTTCCCCGGCCAGCAAAATATCTCCTCGAGGACCCGCGTAGGCAAAGCAGCGCTCCTGCAGCTGAGCAGAAGGAAAAACGTGATTTATTGTAGCGGGAAACTAGGTTAGGTGTAAATTAGGCGTTTGGTATCTGTTGCTTTTAAGCGAGGCGACCTTTTCTCTGCCCTCCTCTCTGCAGCTGTTGTCCATCAAGGTTTGCCGGCACCATTGTCCTCGCAGCCGCCTTCCTTCGGGAGAACCGCCTTGTAGCAGCTGAGCGTGCGAACTTAATAGTTCTGCACTGCAGAAAAGCCGGTAAAGGAAACGAATCCTCTAATGATCCTTATAGCACCGTCCTCTGCCGGTAGTTCTCATTCAGAACAACACGTCTTACTTTCGAGGAAGCAGGACTTAGATTGCATTGGAAGGCCCCAAATCGTTCCGGAAATGTATACTCAAACCACAAACCGCCATCGAAGCAAATCTACCCAGGAGTAAATTGTGTCACAGCTTGGTCCAAAACAGGCATGCATGGAAATACGGCTTTAGAGGAAGAAAAGTGTAAGTCTAACATAGCTGAGTCAACGGACCTCCACACACACATATACCACCCCGAGAAACATGTTTGCGGTGTAATCCTATCCAATTTACCTATTTAGTAAATCTCATTGTGTTGGAGATTATTCACTGTCTGTTTCATCATTAAAGCGCCACCGAGTTCTTATTCGTACCTCTAGAAATGTACTTTTAAGAGCCTTTATAATTGCAAAATTAGGATTCAGAAAAGAAGCCAATCAAAGGAAACAAATCTTCCCAAAACTAACCTAGGCTGCAGTCCAATATGCCTTTCCCAAGGGATAAAATCCATATAAATATATAGCACACTATCCAAATTATTTTTTCCTCCCGGGGAAAATGGGAAGATTTGACTTGCTTCGAATGAAGTCCCGCATCCACGTACCTGACACCAAGCCCCTCTGAAAGAGAAGGAAGCGATAAGGATTGTCAATTTTTAGGGCTTTTCACGGATAGCAAATAGCAATCCTATAAACATCTATTGCCGCCCACCTTTTCTCAGGCAGCCCCTTTCCTCGCCCCAGGTGCGTTTCCCAGTGATACGAGAGAGACAAAAACAGAGATCACGCTTGCACCGGCCTCTATATCTCTCTCTCAAATGCATCAATATAGAATTGCCCTCCTCGGGAATGGCAATACAGAACCCAACAATCTCAGTCAATACGGCCCACGACGGCAGGGTTGAGCGTTGTAGCCTAGTTTATGTGAAGGACACAGGAAAAGGGGACGGCTGCGCTTCCCCTCCCCCACGGGGCCTCCGAGTTTGAGGGCTGTTGGATCGCCAGCCAACCTTCCGAAGAAAGTTCGGGAAGGTTCCGGGCTGAGCTGCCCCCCTCCCCCTCCTTAAAGAGAAGCGCGCGGGAGGCGGGGTGACTCCCACCGAGGAGATAGACACGCGCCTGCCGAGCCCGGCTCCCCGGCTCTTCCGCCAGACAGGTTGGCCCCACACTTCGGCTTCTGGGCGGGGATTAGGGGCCTCAGCCGCCCCTCCCCGAAGGGCGCTGCCTGAGCTCTGCCTTTTCTCCGCCTCACAGGTGCCGCGTCTTTCCCAGACGGGCGCGCAGGGATGGCTTCTTCGTTGGCGGGGACCGCGCCCTCCAAAGAGGCCGGCGTTGCCGAGGGCGCCGGCGGCGAGTCCATGCTGATGCTGTTCCACGGCTGTCCCGCCGGTGCCGCTTCCTTTGGCCCCGCTCTGCACCCGCCGCTCTTCTTCGACGCCATGCCTCCGACCGTCGTCTTCCAGTCGCCGGCGTCGGCTGCCGGGGGCTTGAGCCCGGGCTCGCCTCCGCTGCCGCCTTTCCCCTTCCAGCGGCTACCCGCCACTTACCTGGGGCCGCCGCTGCCACCTCCGCCGCCCACCCTTCCTCTTCTCCGGCCGCCGCCGCTGCCCCGACCTGTGCCGGTCTTGCCCGCGCCCTTCCCCGGAAAGAAAGCCTCGCCCAGAAAGAGAAGCAGCCTCGAAGGGACGTCGGACTCGGAGCAGCGCCCGCCCAGCTACCGCTTCACGGCCCAGGAGCTCCACGCCGTCCTCTACGGCGCCCTGCCCGGCGGGAGGCAGCCGCGCGCCCTCTCGGCAGGTGGGCCCCAGTCCGGGTAAGGGAAGCGGCTGAGCCGGCGCTTTCCCTTCGCTTTCTCGCTGCGGGTCTTGGGGCAATTCTGCCCAATTTCGACCCCGAAAGCCTCGCTTCTGCTTTGGGCGAGTTTGAAAGAGAGGCGCTTTTGCTCAGATCGCCCTCGACTGCTCCCTTAATTGTATCGCGCCTGGCTTGCTTTGGGGGAAAAACTTCTCGTTCTCGGAAGGGAAGGGAACGGACTGGCGCATTTCTTTAAGCTTTAGCCCCACTAATCCAAACCACGCAGGAAGTTTCTTCTGATACTTAGGTCTCTAGGTAAGCCGGGCTGAAGCCCAAGGAAAGATGCCCTGGATCCCGAGGGGAGGAAGCGGCCGGAAATTCTGCTAGGAGGCTGGTTGGAAACAGCTTTTCTTCTAGTAAAGAGGCTGCTTTCTCCTGACTTTGGATCCCTTCCTCGAAAGGCTGAGCAAACCTTTGGTCTGGTGCCTAAGGAGTTCTCGAACCTGCCTTAATCTTGGTTGGTAATGGTTTTTTTTTCCAGTTAGTTGTCTGATTCCTGGCAAAAGCAAGCATCGATTCAAAGCATCAAGGATGCCGGTTGGCAGGAGAACTACTATATATCGGCAGCAGCACAGACCCTTTTTCTGCAGCAGGAAGGATGTTAAAAAGGGAGGAGAAGGAGAAGAGTGAAATGGTTTAAGAAGGAGAGCTTCTGTGTACTTTGATGCATTTAGGGGAGGGATAAATAAATAAATACCTTTAAAAACTGTATGTTAAAAATCAGTAGTCTCTGCTGAGAATGCAGCAACTACCAATTGTTCTAGTTATAGTTACATTGATCTCATTGCTCTGGCATGTTATGTTGACTGGGCATTAATGTTTTTGTTAACAAAATATTGGGTGGGGAATTTAATGAAACATTTCATTATTTTCAATAAATGTCTTCAAGATAAAATGGCCCAAAATAAGCGTATCGCTTCCAGATCCATTGGTTCACAACTCTTCTGACTCCCAACCAGGATGGTATAGAGTTTTATGTTTTTCTGAATGGTGCCTTACCCTCTTTGCACATGTCCCCTTCTTTGCAAGACCCAGAGGTTCTCCTTGTAGAAAAATATCAGTTCAGTGGCAACTTGAACCACTTTGCTCTGTGATTTATCACATAGGCATTTCAACTGAGGTAGTTAAAGTGGACATACGGTAGTCTGTGCATATCTGGTAGAGCTACTGCTCTGTTTATATTATGGCAATTCGTGGCATCTTATTTTAGATTAAATCTAGTTTAGCAGAATTTTCAATTGGAGCACACTTACTTATTCTTGCTTCTTAATTCTTGCTTCTTAAAGACCTGTCGATTGTATCTCTGCTTTTCTTTCAGGAGATACTGACAGTCACCCCCCACTGCTGGATAGATCAACCCTACAACTTCCCAAAGGTAGTACATTTTTGTTCATTTTGGAAGGATGTTCGCTGTCCATCACTGAATTCTTTATAGATAATATTTCTGCCTTGACTTTACTAATCAGTTTGGTTTCTTCCCTTCAGGTCTGACTGTGTTGCAGACTGTATTTATCGATGGTCCACAGTTGGGTGTCTTCTGCACAGAAACCATTCTTAAGGGTATTCGGTTTGGTCCTTTCCAAGGCAAAGTGGTCAACACTAGCGAGATTAAAACTTATGATGACAATTCTTTGATGTGGGAGGTACTTGAAATTGCACCTTCTGCCTTAGAACAGTTGAAAAGGTGGTAGGGATCGAGGAGGGGGGAAACAAAAACAATGTATATACCACTTCCATGCCTGCTATGCATGGTATAGCTGTGTAGGTTAGATACCAGCCTCTCTATCCCTGAATTTGTTGATTTTTTTTAAAAAAAAATTTCCCCAAGGAATTTTCCAAAGAAAACATAATTATATTCACCTTCTAAGTCTGAACATCAAAGATTCAGTCATCCCTTTGCTCTTTCCAAAGTCAACCATTCAATTGTCTGGGTGTTAAAGGTGGTTCAATATTGGGTAACAAGGTGTTTGAAAGCCTTGGCCAAGAAGTACCTGGATGTTTGCATTTCTTAAATGTGTGTTTGTTTTTCAGATTTTTGAAGATGGTCAATTGAGTCATTTCATTGACGGCAGAGGTTCTTCTGGAAACTGGATGTCATTCGTGAACTGTGCCCGCTTCCCAGAGGAGCAAAACCTGACAGCCCTTCAGTGCCAAGGCCAGATCTATTATGAGAGTTGCAAAGAAATTACACCTGGCCAAGAACTTCTGGTCTGGTATGGTGATTGTTACTCACAGTTTCTTGGCATCCCTATCAGCCTCAAAGGAACAGCAGAAGAAAAGCGAACCCCAAAACATACTGAAGGTCAGTTTGCAAACCTTTCCCCTCTGAATAGAAGTTAAACTCAAACAATTAGTTATCTTTTGTCTCTTTCATGTTACGAGAACCTACTACAAATCTTTTAGGGAATTTGAGGAAACACAAAAAACCAGTAGTTAGAACAAACCATCATTAAGCTCACTATGGGTAGTATGCTATGCAAGCAAGCAAGCAAATGTCTCGACTTGGCCAGTATTCTCCCATAGGCTAATGGTTGGAAGCAAGTATCCTTTCTAAGAAAACGGAGGACTGAGGTGTTCAGTTGGGTCTCAAGTGTTGAGACAGAAGTACAGTTCTTGATTGCTGGAGGAGGCTAATGTTTTTTAAAGGAGTACAGTAGCTATATTTGGTTTTCTGCAGCAAAAATATATAAAGTGAGCATTGAAGGTGAATTAAGTCATAGAATATATTTTCAGAAAGGGAAGCTGGTTTTCTTTTAAAATACTAGCAACCTCACCAATGCAGTTGCAAGACATCTGTATGTTTCCATTTAGCCTTTACCTAGTCATTTTCTTTGTTACACAGAACAACTTTGTCTCAAAAGTGCTTTTTAAAGAGGCAACTGGGTTTTCTTATTTTTCTTTGAAGACCTTTCACTTCTCATCCAAGAAGCTTCTTCAGTCTCTGAAGAACTGAAGAAGCTTCTTGAATGAGAAGCAAAAGGTCTTCAAAGAAAAACAAGGAAGTCCAGTTTCCTCTTGAAAAAGCACCTTTGGGACAACCATAACCTCGATGACTGAGAATCTGTATAGACAGAACAACTTTGTATTATACTTGCCTTCTGATTGCTGCCCATGTCTTTTGCTATAAGTTGTCTTTAGGTCCTCAGGGTGATTTTTCCCTCTTTCTTTGTAGAATCTGTGGAGGGTTATGAATGCGGGCGGTGTGAAAAAGTCTTTGCCTACAGATACTACCGGGACAAACATCTGAAATACACACGGTGTGTTGACCAAGGGAACAGAAAATTCCCATGCCATCTTTGCAACCGATCTTTTGAAAAGCGGGACCGTCTGAGGATCCACATTCTCCATGTTCATGAGAAGCACAGACCTCATAAAGTAAGACATTCAGTATCTTTATGTTATTCTAGTAGAATCTCTGGGGAGTCTTCCATGATTTACAACAGTGGAACCAGCAGTGATGAGGAGAGTGGTGTTAAGCATAATTAGAGTGTCATCTCTCTTCAATTTCTCAGGACTTAGGACTGGGCTTTTGGGACAGGAATTTATTCATTAGCATAAGACAAATGAGAGAGATGGTATCTCTGTTCTGATTATTTTTCTGTTGGAATTCTCCTCAAGAAGCACTCAGTAAACAATCTTACTTGGAATTAAAATCTAATACCATAAAATTTATTTCAGACTGAAAATGGTTCTAGGCTTTTAGTTTGATGGCTTGAACCCAAACTACCATTTCTTGTAATCTTTATTTGTAATCTTGTGTTTTCAAAGAATTGAAAAGGTTTTTATCGCAAGTCATGCTCTCTCTAGTATTTTAGTAGCTCATAAGTACATGTGTATCAGTAGTAGTCTTCTAAATTTTGGTCATCGTTTTATTGATGGAGTCCAAGTGAAGAATGTTGGTGATTCTCTTGCTGGTTTGTGCTAGAGTTGCAGCACCTTTTCTGGTTTCAGCCAGAATTCCTGAACATCACCAGACTAGGCTGCAAAAATCAAGAAACCTGTTTATGGCAGAAATCTCCATCCAGTTATCTAGTGGTTGTTCTGCCCAAAGGTGTACAATCAGCATACAGTTGATATCACACCACATGGTGACAGGTGGTCTCCTCCAGAGGTTTCATATAGAAACAGGAATGAAGAAAATACCAACTCTTGAGGGATCCTGAAAGGTAGGGGTCAGATTTATCGCCCCTCATCAGCACTGAGAATAGCCTCAGAGAAAGGAAGTGAACCAAGACAGCACAGTGCCCTCCCATCCCTGGAACCATTCCAGAAGAATCACAGGGATGATAGTATCAAAAGCTGCTGAAAGAGTGAAAATACATAGACACTCTTGCCACCATCTCGCTCCTGCCAAAGGTAATCAAAAAGTGCAATCCATGCCATTTCCATCACATATCCATGCCTGAATCCCAAGTGAAAGGGATTCATCCAGGATCCTTTGGAACTGCAGCATAACCACCTTCTCAAATGGGAAGGTTGGAGTCAGGATGAAAATTATCCATGTAAGTGGCATCAAGCAATGGCTTCTTAAGAAGGGGGAGAATCATAGCCACCATAAAGGACTAAAGCACCACCCTCTCTACCAGAAAGACATTTATCATCCCCAGCAACTAACTGTGCATCATCTCCTGGGATACCAGGAGTGTCAAACCTCAAAATGCTCAGGGTGTCATCTTCAAAGCAGCAGCATCACTTGATGTATCACAACTTTTTCCCCCTTTGCTAAAATGGGTGTGGGCGTGGCCAGTGTGTGACACATCCAGCCCACCGGCCGCAGGTTTGACAGCCCTGCCTTAGCCTGTTAGGAGCACAATGCAAATGAACTAAGCCACTGAAATGATTTCATTTTTAAAGCATGTTTGTTTCCAAAAATTGAGGCTTTAAAAGAAATTAAGAAGTAAATTAGATATTTAATATTCTGAGTAGATTTTCAATGATTCAAACTGTCTGATCAAGCAGGAAATAAGTGCAATATTTTTTAAAATATATTATTTTAATGATTTCTGAGATAGCTTTCATTGAGATAGCTAGAAAGAATTTTGTAATTTCATGCTATGGAAGCTTAAGTGAGACAGTTAAATTACCTTTTCTGCGAAGGAGCTATGATTGCAATTCAAGTAAATACATAGTTGAAAGTAAGTGCAATTTAATTCATTGGGGTATACATTTAAGGAGGCATGCTTGGGATATGAGCTGCCTTTGAAAACTATTTTGCCAACTGAGGAGATCAGATTGTCTGGAAATAAAACATGTATATGGTTTTTTTTAAATAGATGAATTATATGTGCATCTGACATAGAGAATATACACCATGACACTCATATACACCATCATACATGGTGTCTAAAATTAATGTTAATAATTTAAATGATTAATTTGCTTGCCTGACTATAACTTTTAAATACATATGAAGACAGTTTGAATTTAAGACAGCAATTACATATATACTTAGAAGTTTCAGTGTATTCAGTGCATCTTATGTATGTGTGTGTGTGTATATACATACATACATACATACATACATACATACATACACACACACACAAGAAAAAGTATGTGAACCCCTTGGGATTACATGGAGTTTTGCATGAATTGGTCATAAAATGTCCTCTGACCTTCATCTAAGTCACAACAATAGACAAACACAGTCTGCTTAAAATAACACCTTCAATCTACTAC